TTGACAAAAGAGAATTATCAGCACAAATTAATCATTAAAAGGTTATGTCACATTTAATTGACATTTATATATTATGGATAGTCATAATGCCTTGCTAGAGGCCGCTTATGATTTGTGAGCCTTGAATTAATTTTCTAGCCTACTGCCAACAATATATAAACCTACAGGGTCACACACCTAAGTGATTTGGATCATTAATGTTCGTTAATAACATTAAAATAGCCTGATTAGCCCAATTCGAAGTAGGTTTTCGAATGGTATTGGGCTAGGGCCTCCAGGAGAGTTTTATTAGCTATAAAACTCCTTCTTTCCTCCTCTTATAAATATGGCTAAGGAGACCCACGAATTTCAAGAAATAAAATTCACATCTCAAAACCTAGAGAGAGAGATACAAAGAAGAGAACGCTAGCACGTTCCCTGTGGCCGATCCAGTCACGTGCGTGTGGATACCGGTAGAGCTCGGCATTGTTTTCTCGGACTGTCTGACATCCTTGCTTAAGAATGCTATGTAAGTCCCTCTTATATCTTGTAATTTCGTTTATAGTAAGAACCTCAGATCCGGTTGTTTACTTTTGGGCAGTATTTTTTTGTTTATTCTGTTGCGTTTTTCTGCCTGAATCCCTACACGCCAAACCCTACTCCCCTTTCACCGGACCCTAATCCCGAGCCCACCACTTCATCTCGCCCCATCCGCCACAACAAACCTAACACCCGATATTATAGTGGTGCTTTTGTGAATAATACTAATGTGCATCTCATTCCCCCTACACTTGAACTTTCTTCTTTGAAGGTTGCCTTGCAGGATTCTCGGTAGAAGAAAGCCATGGATGAAGAATATCAAGCCTTACTACGTAATCATATGTGATATCTTGTTCCCCCTGCTCATCATACTCCCATTACCTGTCGTTGGATTTTTCATGTGAAGCGCAACTCCGATGGTAGTGTTGCTCACTTCAAGGCTCGCCTGGTTGCCCGAGGCTTTCTCCAGCAACCTGGTCATGACTATTCTGAGACCTTTAGTCCTGTATTTAAGCCAACAACATTAAGATTTGTGCTTACCATTGCTTTGTCTCGGGCCTGGCCGATCAGACAGCTAGATGTTAATAATGCTTTCTTGCATGGCACCTTGGAGGAGGAGGTGTATATGGTGCAGCCACCTAGTTTTGAAGATTATCACCATCCCAAACACCCGTGTTGTCTTAAGAAGGCCTTATATGGCCTCAAGCAAGCCCCACGGGCTTGGAACTTGGTACTTTCCAGATTTTTGCTTTGCACAGGATTTCGGCGATCTCAAACGGATCACTCCTTATTTGTTTATAATCATGCGGGTGTTTTTATATATTTCCATGTGTATGTGGATGACATTGTGTTGACAGGTAGCTCCAACTATGTGCTTACTCAGTTTATTTCTCAATTCACCAAGGAATTTTCTGTTAAAGATTTAGGTTCTCTTCATCACTTTCTTGGTATTGTGGTTATTTCTACTCCTACTTGTTTGCTCCTATCTGAATGACAATATACTCTCAATGTCCTCGAGAGTCATGGCATGTTGGGCATCAAACCGGCGGTAACCCCTATGCGTGTCGGTACTGCCGGCTCTATTACTTCGGCCGACGCCTTTTCCGATGTCACGGCCTACCGGCGCGCACTCGGCCTACTGCAGTACCTATCTTCTACTTGACCTGATATATTTTTTGCTGTAAATCGTCGTTCTCAATACATGCATTGCCCTTCAGTTGATCATTGGACAATTGTCAAACGTATTTTTCGCTATCTAAAAGGTACGTTAAATTTTGGCTTGTACCTACATAAATCTTAAGGTCTTCACCTTACTGCTTTTTCTGATTCTGACTGGGGTGGTACGACCGATGATGGGAGGTCTACTACAGCTTATGTTCTTTATCTCGGTCCTAATATTATTTCGTGGAAGTCTACCGAGCAAAAGAGTGTCTCTCGTTCATCTACGGAGGCAGAATACCGTGTTGTAGCAAATGCTAGTGCCGAGATTCTCTGGGTCAAGAATGTGTTACATGAGTTGGAGATTACTTTGCCTTCTATCCCTGTGCTTTATTGTGATAATCAAGGTGCTACCTATGTCTGTGTTAATCCGGTGTTTCACTCCCGGCTGAAGCATCTTGCCTTGGATTTGTCTTTGTTCGGGAATTTATTCAGCGTGGTCAATTACGGGTTTCGCACATCTCCATCAAATTACAAATTGCAGATGCTCTCACCAAATCACTGAGACAGTCCTTGTTTGAGAATTTTCGATTCAAGCTTGAAGTTTCCAATGGAACATCCATCTTGCAGGGGCGTATTACGACTTAATTTTTTATTATTATTATTTATTGTATTTATGTATATACTGGGCTTGGCCTACTTGTATAGGGTTGTATAGTTTGCCTAGATGAGGACTCTTGTACTATATATATTTCTCTTACTCATTAATAATAATACACACAACTTCTCATTCTAATACAGGACTCCAAGAGCCCTTTTGATAACAATGGAAGTAGTTGAATTTATTTAGTTTTGGTTGAAGTGGTTCGATTGGCTCATTTTGCTGAATTATAAAAAAAATATACTTCAAATATACTTTATTAATAAAATATAGAAAAAGTTATAAGAAAAATATCTAAAATAATCTTCTAAAATAACTTCAACCAATATAAAAAGAAAAGTAATTTCAACCTTACTTATTTAGATTATTACAAAACTCAGCGTGCGAAATCCAAAACTGTGTGTTTGGTGAAAAGATTGACTGATAAGGTTGATAAACCGAAAAACCGGGTAACCAAGGGGATCTCTAGAACCGGTCTGGTAACACTAAAATTGACTGAATTAGTTGATACTGATGAAATTTATGAAGTTCTAGCTGAAGTGGTCAGATAGACTCATTGACAAATTTATATGTTTAAGAAACAATTATATTTAAAATATTTTTTATAAATAAAAGTAAAATAAAAATTATAAGAAAAATAGCTAAAATGATTCTCTATAATAACTTTAATTGATACAATCAAAACAACAATTTCAATTTTACTTTTTCTTATTATTATACATTACAATTTAACGCACGATATCAAAAATTATATGTTTATTGAAAATATTGACTAATAAACATGAGGAAAAAAATAGTCTTTAAACGGACTTCTAGAGCCCATTTGGTACTACCCAAATCGGTTACATTGACCGATTGTGTTGAAATTTATGAAGTTTTGACTGAAGTGCCTGAATTGACTGATTCTATTGATTTATAAAAAAATATATTTAGAGCCTGTTTGGTAACCATGTTTTTCGTCTTATCAGGCTTATCACCGAGCTTTTTAACCAAACGTGTAATTTTTGATTTCGCGAACTGGATTAAGTAATAATAAGAAAATGTAAGGTTGAAGTTAATGTTATGACGATATTGGCTAAAGTTACTGTAGAGGATCATTAGCTATTTTTCACATAATTTTTTTCTTTATTGTATTAACAAAATATATTTTAAATATTTTTTTTTCAAAAATCAGCGGAATAAGCCAATACAGCCACTTCAGCTAGAATTTTATAAATTTCAACAGAATCACCGAATACAATCAATTTATGTATTACCAAACGGGCTCTTAAAATGTATTTTTATTAATTAAATAAAGAAACAATTATATGATAAAATAGCTAAAAAGATTATCTACATTAACTTCAGCAAATACAGTCAAAAAGTAATTCTAACCTTATTTTTTCATCACACAATCCAACGCGCGAAACTAAAAGTTGAATATTAAGAAGTTGACTGATAATCCCGATAAGCCGAAAAACATTATCACCAAACTAAAGAGTTTTTTCAACATGTGTATTCAAAGTCTATTTGAATATTAAGAAAAAAGGAGTAATATCATTGAGTATTATTATACCTGACCTGGTGGGATGGAGATATGATGATGATAAATCACAATCCATCCGTATGGAACATGATAATATGAGCGATGACTGATGAGCAGAAGCGAGGGCATTAGTCACATCATGGCCATGAGCCACCCATCATCATCATGGTTGCGGAAAGATTCCATATACACATCTACATACGGCGTACAATGTATGTATCGGCATAAAATAGAAATTAAATAATGGGAAAAGACGGTACAACGGCGTGCCATCAAGGGCCGGTAATGATTACATATGGACTCATCCCAATATGGCTATGGCTAGAGATAGAAAGAGAGGAAATCCAACCCACAACCTCCGCAGCCACAGCCGCCATTTCCTCCTTCATTTACACCATTTCTGCATTTATTAATCAATAATCAATCCTCGTCCACTTAATTAATGAACCCTTTATTAATCTAGTACCAACCAAAGAAAAATCTGAAGCGACAGAATGAAAATGAAAAGTATCTCTAAAAACACAAAATTCATTGATTAATTAAAATTAAAGTTAACAGACAGAGAGACACATAGAGAAGGAAAGCTCTTTGGGTTCTTTTTTCATTGATATGATGATGGCGATGACTGTTTGTATATTCTTTAAATCTTCTACAGTCCCATTCATCTGCCGATTGACTATTTCATAGATTTAAAGTGAAATCCGCGATAAGAATTGAATCTGGGTATCTTATGAAAAGATTGGATTTTGGGTTTGTTTTAAATCTAATCCAGGATCTATTTCAAAATTTCCCTACAGGAGATTATACGACAACTACCACTCACCATCATCATCATTAGTATATAAAGGGAGACTGCGTTATGAATGAAAACGCCAAATGTAGAACTACCACACTCTTCACTCACCTTAATCCTTACATCATCACTTTACCGGCCATCTCCAGAAGATTTTCTTCCTTTTTGCCTTCCTTTCTTCACCTTCACGCTTATTTCTCAGCGGCCGTTTCCCTTGAAAGCCGCGCCCGACGTCTTCTTTCTTCCCTTTTTTCTGTATATATAAAGAAGCTTAGCTTCACACTCTCTTTACACTTGCAAAAATAAAAAATTCCTCTGTTTCTTGACCGGGAAAAACAGGATGATGGTGAGGGTGGAGGTGCGAGATTACGACGCCAAGAGAGATGCCAAGGCGGTGGAAGAGGTGGAGCGGGTGTGCGAAGTCGGCAGCGCCGCCGGGAAACTCGCCATCTTCACCGACCTGATGGGTGACCCGTTGTGCCGAGTCCGGAACTCCCCTGCTTTTCATATGCTTGTAAGTATGCAAACGGAGTCTGTCAAGATTGCCTCTTTTACTGTTTCATTTCTACGATTCTGACTTTGTTCCTCGTCCCGACGACCAGGTTGCAGAGGCGGTGGAGATTACCATGGACGGAAAACAAACCAGAGAGATGGTCGGGATGATCCGTGGTTGCATCAAGACTGTTTCTTGCGGGAAGAAGCTTTCAAGAAATAGTAATAATATGAAAAACAACAATAATAGTCATCTCCCTGTTTACGCCAAAGTCGCCTACATCTTGGGCCTTCGCGTCTCTCCTTCTCACAGGTTTTTATCTTTTATCAATAAAGATTGAATCTTGAAGATTAAAGATTCAAATTTTACTTTGAAAAATGGAATTTATGGTATGTTAATGTTTAAATTTTTTGGATTATTTATAGGAGGATGGGTATTGGACTGAAACTGGTTAAGAAACTGGAGGGGTGGTTTATGGAGAATGGTGCTGAATATTCTTACATGGCCTCTGAAAATGACAACAAAGCTTCTATCAACCTCTTCACTCATAAATGCGGTTACTCACTCTTTAGACGGCCTTCTATACTGGTCCAACCCGTTTTTGCCCACCGGGTCCGGGTCTCCGATATGGTCACCATCATAAAGCTCAGCCCCGGCGACGCGGAGGTTTTATACCGCCGGCGTTTCTCGACCACCGAGTTCTTCCCGCGCGACATCGACTCCATTCTGAGGAACAGGCTGAATCTTGGAACCTTCCTCGCCGTACCGAAGGGCCGTTACACCGCCGAGTCATGGCCGGGCTCCTACGAGTTCCTGGCGGACCCGCCCGAGTCGTGGGGCGTGTTGAGCGTATGGAACTCGATGGACGTGTTCAAGCTGGAAGTCCGGGGAGCGTCCAAGAAGCTATTGGGCTTCGCGAAGACGACGCGTTTACTGGACCGGGCCTTTCCCTGGCTGCACCTGCCGTCTGTCCCGGAGGTTTTCAGGCCGTTTGGTCTGCATTTTCTGTATGGGCTCGGCGGGGAAGGCCCGTTGGGTGTGAAGTACATAAAGGAGCTCTGCGGGCTGGCCCACAACCTGGCGAAGGAGAGAGGGTGTGGGGTGGTGGCGACGGAGGTGGCGAACGGCGACCGGCTCAGTTTAGGGATCCCACACTGGAAGAAGCTATCGTGCGCCAACGATTTGTGGTGCATAAAACGGCTGGGGGAAGAGTCCAGTGACGTGGCGGCCGGTGATTGGACGAAGTCCCAACCTGGTCTCTCCATTTTTGTTGATCCTAGGGAAGTCTAGATGATTTGGTGGCCCAGCCCATACTACTAGTAATAGAATCTAATTTAGTTTTAGGAGTTCTTAATTACAAAAATTAAAGAAAAAAACAGTGAACCAACAAAGAAAGGTTGTCCTTTTTCCTTGTAGATCTTCTCTTATTATTATGACCTTTTTCGTGCACTTCTTTCTATGGCTTATTATATTGACGTTCCTCTTTATGTTGAGCTATAAGTTTCTCTACTTGGGAGGATTATTTAAATCAATCCATCCAGATTTTGCTGAGGATTATTTCTATCTATTCCATGTATAGCGCCGCCAGGGAATAGTTTATTGAAATGGTTCATAAATAAATTAAGTTTCATACGGAGTAATTTATTTTAAGTTTGAGTTTTTAAGGTAAGAGTTTTAATCATCTTCTTGTCTTTACTCGTCCAAAATAGGATGATTGGGTACTGATCAGGCCCGGAATCGTGCCCGCTATTGCGCGCGATCAGGTATGTAATTAAAAACATTTCAAAAATATGTATTAAAAACCTTCTAAAATGAAATTAAATACTTATCGAATGACATGACAAACAAACGAAGGTAACATATTACTCGGGGTTGTTTCGTTGTCAAAAGGAGGTTGTTATCACTAGTCATGGATTAAAAAGAAAATTAACATAAATTTTAGGGATAAAAACAAAGAAAATATTTCGCATGAAGCTAAAATAAAGTGTGTCATATTTGCAGGGACTAAAACCATATTTAAACTTCTTTTTAGTTGGCTCAAAATTTTGTTAATCTTCTTTTAAACCAATGAATTTTTTATCTTGGGCAATTCACATTTTTAGCTTATTAGCCTAATCTGTTCACTTTTCTTTTATGAAATATGTAACATTTTATTTTTTCTTTTATCAAATATGTAACATTTTATTTTGTACGTCGAATTCGGTAATAATTAAAATATGTATGATTGAACTTGCTTTTGTTTTGCTGAATTGAGCGAAAGTTATTGGAGTATCATCTTGACTATTTTTTTCATATAATTCTTTTTTATTAATAAAATATATGTTAAATGTAAATATTCCATATTTAGCATTTTATGTCAATTTAAGTTTTACATAGAATCAAAGCAATTTTAGCAAATTCACTCAATTTAGCTAATGTCAGCGTTATCAAATTAACTCTAAACATATACCACTACTCTCTCGGTCCTGTAAAAATTGACCAGAGTTAATTTGCATGCAAATAGTAAATAAAAAATGTGTGATAGACATTTATGCCGACGATAAAAATGAGTGTGATCGTATTTTTATTACATTAAATCGTAGCGACCAAGTTTTTTGTATGCGATTAAATAAGCTAAGTTGACAAAGTTTTGCAAACCTATTATTTGAACATCATTTGTTTATTATTGAGTCAAAATTGCTTACGGTCGTGTGGTTACAATTCAGAGAGAACTATTTAGAGGACAACCTATTTTTGACAACGCTTATTTGGTCCAAAAAAGGTAGAATCTCCCACCCCAGGAGCCCCCACCCCGACTCGACAGGATCGTTGGGGAGTTAATCACGGTGACTCAGTCAGCAAAGTGGTGGTAGACCTTATACACATGCGCACCAGAGGTCCAGTCTTATTTCAGGTTTTGTAATCTCCACACGGTCGCTGCGGATTTCAAACCTTGGTCACTTGTCCAATTTTCTCACCACTCGGGCTACTGAACTACCCGTGCGGGTTTGACAACGCTTACTGATCCAACAAACGAGCATGGAACTGGTCTCGAATTCAAGATTGATCATGTAAACCCATATAATAAGAAATTTGATACATAAATCATATTTGTCCTTTTCCATCATTTTCAAAATTTGTACAAGTTTTTCATCAAGATTGAAATAAAATAAGGCATTATCCTTAATTTATGGAACCAGAATTGCCACAAAAGGTATAAACTTGGATTGAATCGTCGACACTCGGTCAGCGTCACAATAACGTGATAAAGATGCAATGTTTGTAGAGCATAAGTTGGGTGTGGCGGTAGACAAAGGAAAGTAATCAAGAGTCAGGTCATGGGGCTGGGGACGACCCTACAAATAAAGGTTGAACTCAAAGGAATTTATTAGGGTAGGGTGAAATTGTATCGTGGTTGCATACGGACGTGGTCGGCCAGGGTCTGGTGGGTGGGTAATAGTACCTTTGTTTTTAGGTTCATGTCTTTGGGCAATGATAATGAGCTCCTTTGTTCCTTTGTGAATACAAATCGGCACAAAGAGTGTCGACGTGGAGGAGTGGGATGAAACCCCCACCTCTTTGCCATCTCCATCTCAATTCTCTTTATATATAATTATGTTACTCGTATATACTGGTATGAGAGTTTGGAACAAGACATCAAACATTTAGTATAACACTCAAATAGGTTGAATCCACTCGATCTATTGCAATTGATGATGGAATTTAAATAGAGGATTTAATTGGCTGAATATGGTGAATTATTAAAAAATAGCTAAAATGGTTAACAGGTTCGATATGCGAAATCAAAAGTCGCATATTTCATTAAATCTTGAATGGTAAAGCTCATGAACTAAAAATATTAATGATCAAATAGGTTGGGTTACAAGAACAGGATCGCACTAGGTTGTCCGACCCGGAAGCCGACCACCCGACTGTGGATCCGGTCCAGTAGAGTCCAAACCCGTAAATGTGCCCAAAACTAATATTGACCGGTGACTCATAATTTACCAAACCGGATCCAGAACAGTTAAAAAACGAAAATCAATGAAACCCGGTTAATAAATCGGATTGCCCTGTTAAAAGTTCAACGATCAAGAATTTCGAACCATGGACTCCTGTTTTAGTACACACCCGTAGATCATCAGGGCTACTTAGCCGAAGTGTCCATACGTGGCCTTAATCTTGTTGACTTAAGGATCGTTTGTTAACCGGCCTTTTCAGCCCAACACACTACAATTATCGGCGTTTATAGTGTAAGAAACATAGAGTTTTTGCTCAGCACGCTAATATCGAAACATAGCCTTAACATATTAAGGGTAGGTTACAATTTTATAAGTATTAAGTTATTATAATTAGCAATCATAATAAAAATAATATTATTATTGGTACTACTATACTAATAAATATTCATAGGCATGGGCGGAGCTAGGGGTGGGCCAACCTAGGCCAAGACCCACCCCAAATTTAAAAAATGGCTTAACTTTTAAGGTAAAAAATTTCGTATAATTTTTTTTGTAAAAATAATCTTTGTACCAACCCAGTCTGGATCAGTGCCCTGGCTTCACCCCTGTTCATAGGCTTATTAACAAAACAAATCCGACTTTTGGGGTTATCGACTAAATTAGTCTATTGTATGTATATATTGATATAAAAGAAGTCATCGTTGAAATACTCAAGACAAAATTATGATCGATCTTATTTACTTCATAATTATTTAAAAACATTCATCGTTTAGAAGCATTATTGATTTGGTCAATGTGTCATTATTAACTTTATTTATTTTCTTGAGAAAACTATATATCATCTACTCCTCAAAATTAAAGTGCCCAGAGCACAAACTCTACTCTCTTATATGTGATATATAGACTACATCTATAATGACAAGAATTTATAGAAATATCAACAATTGTTAGAATTCAAAGTACCATGAATATTGTTGAAACGGTTAGCAACACAGGAGGGGGTGAATTGTGTGTGTGTGGAACCGTGTCAGTTTTTCGCACAGTTCTAGTGTGGAGTCCAGGGAAATGCGAAATAGTAAAGTGCACAAGGATTTAACGAGGAAAAATCCCTTGGTTCAAAGGGATTAAAAAACCTCGACCTCTCTCGGAGGAATTTTCAACAACTTCACTAATAAGCCTTTTGTGGTTACAAGGTAAATTCTCCTAATCTACCCTTGAGCCACCCCAACTCTATCATCTCTAGGAAGAGTTATGCATCTCTACCTTGCGGGTAGAGAGCCTCTCAGCTTTACAACAAAGCTCTCACACACACGACCCCAACCAGAGGAAGCTACACTTAAGCTTTTCCTCAAACTTCAATTACAAAACAAGTAAGAGAAAAGAAACTATATCTAGAACTCTGTAAGCAGGTCCAGTTGCCTTGGTCTTGATACTCTCTTATAAGTATTTCTCTCTATAATTGTTCGGTCAAGCACACCTCTTCTCTTGATCTTTCGTCATATATATAGCTTCATGCAGGACGTTCGTTGCTCTACTTTCCTTAGTTGGTTGCTTGGTAAATTTATGGACTTGCCTTGATATTAAGATACTTAAAATATTATAATCACGTATATACGAAAATAGCATACCAATCACGGACAAGGAGATTATTTCATAAATGCAACGGCTCACTCAAATCATGTGTGATTAATTTAAGTAGGAATATTTCAAGCTACTTAAATTTATTACCAAAGAAAACAAGTTGTGGCCAGCTCTTAAAACGGTAGAATGTTATTCTCAATCTATGCAATGGATCAAATATGGAATATATTTCAAACAAGGATCCGTATAGCAAGAGAAAGAATTCACTTAATAAGTATAAGTGCTATGGTCAACTTCCAATTATAAATCATGCACTCACATCAAGTAAAGATACTTTCCATAAGGTATTTAAACAATATTTAATGAGTGGATGTCAAGTCAAGTATGGAAGAATAATAACCACCTAAATAAGTACTCATACGTATATATAGAGTGGACATGCATGGAAAGATACTTTTGCTTAAAATAATATAAGTACTCATATAAGGAAAGTATATTATTTGAAAATCAAGTAGGTGTAATCAATATTAATTCAAATGATATTACGGAACTAGAAATGGAGCTGCATTAGTTCCTCCTGCATGGTTAGTCAACAACACACTAATAATATTCATTTGGTCATGAGGATAGTTCTGTCCTTTGTTCCGTAAGGAACTGTGAGCGGTTCTATCCGCCTTTCCACCTGCATGGTTAGTCATCAACAAAACAATCATACTCAACAAATTCCCCCTTTTTGTTGATGACAAACCTTAGGTGCCAAAAGAGTCCCTGAAGGTTAGTACTTAAGCAAAGCATAGCAATATAGTCCCTGCAGATTAGTACTTGAGCAAAACATAGCAATAAAGCAACAGTAGTTTGAGTGTAGCAGCAAAAAGAGGCAGAGGCACCTGATTATTTCCCCCTTTTGGCATCAACCAAAAGGAAACAGAAAATAATCAAAACAGTGCCGAGTAAAAGTGCAAAATAAGCTAGTGTTTTAAGATGTTAAGTAGCAAAAATCCCTTCCAGCAAAAAAAAAAGTTTAATCATCATCAGAGGAGTAAATTATTCTTCGATGAGTCGAACTAGGTTCACCGAGCCGCTCCGCTACTTCCGGTTTGAAAGATTGGAAATC